CCAGTGATCCTTCCACTTCAGCCTTCCAAGGAGCTGGAACTACAGGTGTGCACTACCATGCCTGGCTAATTTTTGACTTACTGTAGAGATGAGGTCTTTTCAAGTTGCCCAGGTGGGTCTCGAGCACGTGGGCTCAGGCAATCCACTTGCCTTGGCCTCCCAAAGTGCTGGGATTACAGGCTGGGCCACCGAACCTGGTCTGTTTTTTTTTTTTTTTTAAGTCCGTCTCACTCTGTTGACCAGGCTAGAATGCAGTGGCATGGTCATGGCTTACTGTAGCCTTGACCTCCTGGGCTTAGGCGATTCTTCTGCCTCAGCTTCCTGAGTAACTGGGATTATGGGGGCATGCCACTATACCCTACTAATTGGAAGGTAATTTCTTTTTCTTTTTCTTTTTTTTTTTTTTTGAGTTGGAGTCTCACTCTGTTTCCCAGACTGGAGTGCAGTGGCCGCTCCCGGCCACCGCAGCCTTGACCTGCTGGGCTCCGGCGATCCTTCTGCCTCAGCTTTCCAAGTAGCTGGAATTACAGGCATGTGCTACCACGCCTGGCTGATTTTTTGATTTATTGTAGAGATGAGGTCTCGCTGCCCAGGTGGGTCTTGAACCCACGGGCTCAGGCAATCCACTCACCTCAGCCTCCCAAAGGCACGGGATTACAGGCTGAGCCACCGAGCCCGGCGGAAGGTAATTTCTATTAAAAGGTTTGCCTTCCATCCAGTAATTCTATATTAGGAATTTGTCTATAATGGAAACGATGCACAAAAATATTTACTTATAAGGACATTCACCAACACATTGTTTACTATATATAGCAAATAGTGAAGACATTCTCAATGTCCTAGAGGATTATTTTAGTAAGTTATAGCACATCTAAATTACATTTTTCTCACATGGAAACATGTTCATAATATAATGTGGTATAGGAAAAATTGGCTACAAAATAGAATTGTTATTATCATAAGTCCTAAGTATATGTGTGTGTATACACATGTGAAATGCACATGCATAAAAGGTTTGAAAGAGAGAGAGAGAGAGAGAGAGAGAGAGAGTGTGTGTGTGTGTGTGTGTGTGTGTGTGTACATATATATATATTTTGTTTGTTTGTTTTTTGAGTTGGAGTCTCATTCTGTCACCCAGGAGTGCAGTGGCACACATGCTCATGGCTATCCCAGCGCTGACTTTCTGGGCTCTGGCGATCCTTCCACCTCGGCCTTCTAAGTAGCCGGAACTACAGGCGTGCACTACGAAGCCCAGCTGATTTTTGATTTATTGTAGAGATGAGGTCTTGCCAAGTTGCCCAGGTGGGTCTCAAACCCACGGGCTCAGGCAATCCACTCACCTCAGCCTCCCAAAGTGCTGGGATTATAGGCTGAGTCACTGAGCCCGGCTGAAAGAGTATATATTTAAGTGATTATTAGTTGATGATGTATATATATATATATTTTTTTTTGCTTGGGATCTCACTCTGTCACCCAGGCTGGAGGGTAGTGGCACAATCACAGTTCACCACAACCTTGACCTTCTGGGCTCAATATATCTTGCCTCTGTCTTCCAAGTATCTGGGACTACAAGCATATACCACTATCCCTAGCTAATTAAAAAAAAATTTTTTTTTGTAGAGATGAATTCCTGCTATGTGTTCTAGGATGGTCTTGAACTCCTGGATTTAAGCAATCCTCTTACCTCTGCCTCCCAAAGTGTTGGGATTACAGGCATGAGCTATCACGTCTGACTTGCATATGTATATGTTTGTTGTTTTTTTTTTGAGTTGGAGTCTCACTCTGTCGCCCAGACTGGAGTGCAGTGGCTGCTCCCGGCCACCGCGGCCTCGACCTGCTGGGCTCCGGCAATCCTTCCGCCTCAGCCTTCCGAGTAGCCGGAATTACAGGAGCGCGCTACCATGTCCGGCTAATTTTTTGATTTATTGTAGAGATGAGGTCTCGCCTGCCCAGGCAGGTCTCGAACCCGCGGGCTCAGGCAATCCACTCACCTCAGCCTCCCAAAGGTGCAGGATTACAGGCTAAGCCACCGAGCCCGGCTATGTATGTGTTTTGATACTGCTTTTCTATGTTTTCTAGCTTTACTGCCATAAACAGATATTCCTTTGACACTTTATTATTTTATTTTATTTTGTGATTTACTGTAGAGACAAGGTCTCACCAAGTTGCCCAGGCTGGTCTTGAACCTCCGGGCTCAGGCAATCTTCTCGCCAAGTTGCCCAGGCTGGGCAACTTACTACTGTGGCGACAAGGTCTCTTCAAGTTGGCCAGTCTGGTCTTAAACCCCTGGGTTTAGGCAGTCTTCTCGCCTCTGCCTCTCAGAGTACTGGGGTTACAAGCCTGGTCCTGAAAAACTTTAAAAAATCATCTTTTTTTTAATGAATAAAAGTTCAGTTTGTGAAATTTGAAATCATATGTTCATGAAAATCTGGAGTTTAATACTAAACTCGCTTATCATCAGGAAAATTCATCCCTAAAATACATTGTTTCTATGATCATGGATATTTATATTTTTATTATACTTAGCCAATATCAAATTATCTAAATTCTAATAAGAAAATAATGATTGTGCTTTGATGTTTTACAAAAAGTATCTTTATTTTGTTTTTATAAGGTTTTCACTTGAGGTAATAGATGTGTTAATTAACTTGAGTTAATTATTCCATGAATTGCAACATCACTTTTTTACCCTATAAATATATATACCAGCTGGTGCGGTGGCTCAGCCTGTAATCCCAGCACTTTGTGAGGCCGAGGCGAGAGGATTGCCTGAGCCCGGAGGTTCGAGACCAGCCTGGGCAACTTGGTGAGACCTTGTCTCTACAGTAAATCACAAAAACCAGGTGGGCATGTTGGCGTGCATCTGTAGTTCCAGCTACTGGGAAGGCTGAGGTGGAAGGATCACCTTAGCCCATCATGTTGAGGCTGCAGTGACTGGGAGCGTGCAACTGCACTCCAGCCTGGGCGACAAGAGTGAGACTCCAACTAATAAATAAATAAATACACCTATATTTCATCAATTTCCTGTTAAAAAAGGTACCTAATGTTTCATTAGGTAAAGTATTCATTTTAGGATTAGAGAAAATAAAAAAATCAAGTATTTTGTCAAGTGTCATGGATATAATCAGTACAGTTGTCCTTTGGTATCCATGGGGGAATGGGTCCCACGACCTCCTCCACTGCCTACATTTGAGGTTGCTCAAAGTCCCTTATATAGGATGATGTACATAGTATTTGCATTTAACACATACGTCCTCGCCAGGCATGGTGGTTCTCACCTGTAATCCCAGCACTTTGAGAGGTGGAGACGAGAAAATTGCATGAGCCCAGGGGTTTGATACCAGCCTGGGCAACTTGGCAAGACTTTGTCTCTGCAATAAATCAAAACTTTAGCCAGGTATGGTGGTGCACACCTGTGGTTCCAGCTACTTGGAAGGCTGAGGTGGAAGTACTGCCTAACCCAGCAAGTCAAGGCTGCAGTAGCCGTGAATGTGCCACTTAGTGGCAGAGTGAAGCTCTGATTCAAAAACAAAACACCCCCTCCAAACACACACCCTTCTGTGTATTTTTATTCATTTCTGGATTGCTTATAATAGCTAATACAATGTAAATGCTGTGTAAATATTCAGTATACTATACTGTTTAGAGAATAATAGCAAAACAGATTAGTACATGTTCCATATAGATGCCACCATTGTTGACCTAACTATATCTTCCATCCGCAGTTGACTGAATGTGCAGATGTGGAACTCAGACATAAGGAGGGCTACTGTGTTTCCTTTCTGATAACTGGGAACAGACAAGTGGTAGAATAATTTTTTTAAAAAAAGCAAACTCAGGCCGGGCTTGTTGGCTCAGTCTGTAATCTCGCCCTTTGGGAGGCTGAGGTGAGTGGATTGCCTGAGCCCGTGGGTTCGAGACCCACCTGGGCAACTTGGCGAGACCTCATCTCTACAATAAATCAAAAAATTAGTTGGGTGTGGTAGCGCGCGCCTGTAGTTCTGCAACTTGGAAGGCTGAGGCGGAAGGATTGCCGGAGCCCAGCAGGTCAAGGCTGCGGTGGCCGGGAGCAGCCACGGCACTCCAGTCTGGGTGACAGAGTGAGACTCTAACTCAAAAAAAAAAGCAAACTCAGCCGGGCACAGTGGCTCAAGCCTTTAATCCCAGCACTTTGGGAGGCTAGTTGAGAGGATTGCCTGAGCCCAGGGATTTGAGACCAGCCTGGGCAACTTGGTGAGATCTTATCTCTACAATAAATAAAACACATTAGCTGGGCGTGGCAGCGTATGTCTGTAGTTCCAGCTACTTGGAAGGGTGAGGTGGAAGGATTGTCTGAGGCCAGCAGGTCGAGGCTTCGATGGTTGTGAGCATGCCACTGCACTCCAGCCTGGTTGACAAAGTGAGACCCCAACTCAAAAAAAAAAAGAAAAAAACTCAACCAGGCGCTATGGATCACACCTGCAGGCCTGTAATCCCATCACTTTGGGAGGCGGAGGTGAGAGGATTGCCTGAACCCAGGGGTTCAAGACCAGCCTGGACAACATGGTGAGACCTTGGCTCTGCAATAAATAAAAATATTAGGCAGACATGGAGATATACACCTGTAGTTCCAACTACTAGGAAGGCTGAGGTTGAAGGATTGCCTGAACCCAGCAGGTTGAAGCTGCGATGACTGTGAGCATTCCACTGTACTCCAGCCTGGGCAACAGAGAGACTGCTACTCAAAAAAAGAAAAAAAAAAACTCACGATTCACTTACACTATAACATTTTGATGCTAACAATATAAACTTCACAGTGGGAGGAACTTGAAAACATTTTTACAAACTGATCCTTTACTTAAGAGGTTGTTTTCCAGCTAATGATATTATGTTATACTTCTACTGGTAATATCACTTTGTTTCACTGAGTTTTCATCATTGAGAGTACTACTAATGATAGGAAAATATATGTATACGTCAAAAACATTTTTTTAACCTCTAAATTTCTACTTTCTTTTCAGGCATGACAGCAGTTATCTGTACTTACCCTCTTGACATGGTCAGGGTACGCCTAGCATTCCAGGTGAAAGGGGAACACACCTACACAGGAATTATTCATGCATTCAAAACAATTTATGCAAAGGTATTTCTTTTTGTTTTGATTAGAAAATAGTTTATTTAGAAAGTAAACTGGAGGAGGGAGAGAGAGAAAGAGGGCATTCACCACCCCAAGGGAGGGGAGGGGGTGTAAGCTTAAAAAACATGGTGACAGCCATAGCTCAAAGAGCACATGGCCACACCAGAGTCTAGTAAGGCAACAGCCAAGGTATTTCTCGTCTATAACATGCCTTTTACATTTTGGAAAGTATTTTGAATGTTATTTAAATAATTATCCTTTGACTTATAATAATTGCTATTAGTAATACTAATTATGAAAGCACATCTTAGTGTTTCAGGGTGGCTGCCAGAATAACTTTTCCATTATGAATTGTGCTTTTGTTCTTTGATGTTAATCCTAATGAGCACAATGTAATCTTATTTCTACTTTTCCTTCACTCAAAAGGAAGGGGGTTTCCTGGGATTTTACAGAGGCTTGATGCCTACCATTTTAGGAATGGCTCCGTATGCAGGTATGGTTCAAATCTGGCAGAATTCTAGTTTGCTTGTTTCACCAATTTTTTTCTGAAATGGTAACATGAAAAGATGCTGTCTGTAAAATAAGACAAGAACTGATGGAGATAAAATTATGATTCATACATGGTCATACAATAATATCTTATATGTGCAGATGACAATTCATGTACAATGGGTAATAATGTACTTTTACATCATTTTCTTAAAATCTGATCCAGGCTGGGCTTGGTGGCTCAGCCTGTAATCTCACGCTTTGGGAGGCCGAGGTGAGTGGATTGCCTGAGCCCGCGGGTTCGAGAACTGCCTGGGCAACTTGGCGAGACCTCATCTCCACAATAAATCAAAAAATTTAGCCGGGTGTGGTAGCACGCACCTGTAGTTCCAACTACTTGGAAGGCTGAGGTGGAAGGATCGCCGGAGCCCAGCAGGTCGAGGCTGTGGTGGCTGGGAGTGTGGCACTGCACTCCAGTCTAGGCGACAGAGTAAGACTCCAACTCAAAAAAAAAAAAGAAATCTGAACCAACTGTAGTTTTGTTAACATACACTTATGTTAGATGATTGTTAAGTATTTGGTTTTTATTAGCATGTTGATTAATAATAAGAGCTGAGGTCGGGCTTGGTGGCTCAGCTTGTAATCCCAGCACTTCGGGAGGCTGAGGCGAATGGATTGCCTGAGCCTGTGGGTTTGAGAGCAGACCGGGCAACTTGGTGAGACTTCGTCTCTACAGTAAATTAAAAAATTAGCTGGGCATGGTAGTGCGCACCTGTAGTTCCAGCTACTTGGAAGGATCTCCGAAGCCCAGCAGATCGATGCTGAGGTAGCCATGAGTGTGCCACTGCACTCCAGCCTTGGTGATGGAGTGAGACTTCAACTCAAAAAAAAAAAGTAATAATAATAATAATAAGAGCTGAAAGTGTTTTTTTCCTCATTATAAATAGCAAAGACTTACTGGAAATTTTGAAAATATAGACTTCAAAAAAAATTCAAAAAAAAAAAAAGAAAATATAGACAGAAAGAACAAAAATACGGATACCTATAGTTCTCTAATAGCCATTATCATGTTTATATTGCTGTTTTTTAAACTAAAGTTTTTATATTGGGGTAATTACAGATTTAGATACAGTTTATTTTAAAGATCTCAGTTGGCTTTGTTTATAATTCTAGAATCAGGCAATACTTCATTTCATAAAATAGAATGAGTCTTGCAGTAAGTTGAACAGAGGAGTTGGTTTTATAGACCGAAGGTCTGAAGAAAGCAGAAACAAAGAACAAGGAGATTGGTCATTTCAAAGTTACTTTCTAGCTGGGTGCAGTGGCTCACTCTGACTCAAAAAAAAAAAACAAGGCAGGAATCTCAATCTGACACCCAGGCTGGAGTGCAGTGGCTTGCTCATGGCTACCACAGCCTTGACATGCTGGGTTTGGGCGATCCTTCTACCTCAGCCTTCCAAGTAGCTGGAACCACAGGCGCGGACCACCATGCCAAGTTGCCCGGGCTGGTCTTGAACTTGCGGACTCAGGCAATTCACTCGCCTCATCCTCCCAAAGTGATGGGATTATAGGCTAAACTACTGAGTCCAGACAGATTAATTATATTTTAAAATTTATCCATGTTCTATATAACTGTTCATTCATTTATCCAGTTATATGTGTATCCGGGTTCTAGTTTTTCTAGATTATATACCTAGAAATAGAACAGCTGGGTTCTAAGTTATATGTATATGAATATATATTTTTTTTGAGTTAGAGTCTCACTCTGTCGCCCATACTGGAGTGCAGTGGCCGCTCCCGGCCACCGCAGCCTCGACCGGCTGGGCTCCAGCGATCCTTCCGCCTCAGCCTTCCAAGTAGCTGGAACTACAGGTGCGCGCTACCATAACCGGCTGATTTTTAAAAATTTATTGTAGAGATGAGGTCTCGCAAAGTTGCCCAGGTGGGTCTCGAATCTGCAGGCTCAGGCAATCCACTCACCTCAGCCTCCCAAAGCGTGGGATTACAGGCTGAGCCACCAAGCCCGGCTACAATAAGTTAAAGTAAGATAAATTATTGCACAGACTTGAAGTTCGTCTATGATTATCATTAGCTAGAATTTGCATACTTGTGTTCTCTTTACTGTCATTTCATCAACTGGGACTTGTGGCATCTGTGCAGGTGAAAAAAGAGCTTTTTGTTGTTTGAATTATTTTGACACTTGTTAATGTATGTGATTCCTGGTGGGTGGTGGTTGTCTTTTTTTTCAACAAAGTGAGAATCAAACTAAAAAAAACCCCCAAAAAACAGAAAACAAAGCTATCATTCAAATTCCCCAAACTTATATATATCTTTTGGCCAAGTACACGTTAGTAGTTCCCTGGTATAGCTTTTTCCATCCCTTTATTATTACTTTTTCATGTCTTCATGTTTTAGAGTTTTATTTTTTTTAAGTTTTTAAACAAAGTTCATTAGAGAAAGAAGAGAGAAAAGAAAGGGAGACATGCCAGAGTAGACATGGGTGAAATAAACTGCCTTTTTTTTTTTGAGTTGGGGTCGCACTCTGTCGCCCAGACTGGAGTGCAGCGGCATGCTTCCGGCCACCATAGTCTCAACTGCTGGGTTCCAACGATCCTTCTGCCTCAGCCTTCCAAGTAGCTGGAACCATAGGCACGTGCTACCATGCTCAGCTAATTTTTTTTTTTTATTTATTGTAGGGACGAGGTCTCGCCAATTTGCCTGGGTGGGTCTCGAACCCGCATGCTCAGGCAATTCACTTGCCTCAGCCTCCCACAGTGCTGGGATTACCGGCCAAGCCACCAAGCCAAGCCAATAAACAACCTTTAAAAAAAAAACAACCCTATTGTCACCCAGGCTGGATTGCAGTGGCAAGATCACAGTTCCCTACAGCCATCAGTTTCTGAGCTCAGAAGATCTTTCTGCCTCAGCCTCCCGAGTATATGGAACTATAGGCACATGCCCTCATATCTGGGTATCTTTTTGATTTTTTGTAAAGACAAGGTCTGCTATGTTGCCTAGGTTGGTCTAGAACTCCTGGGTTCAAACTATCCTCTCTCCTTGGACTCCCGAAATACTGGGATTACAGGCGTGTGCCACTCTGTCTTGGCCAGGTATTTCTTCTGTAAGTATTATATAGCTGCATTTTCTTTTCTTTTCTTTTTTTTTTGAGTCAAGGTGTCTCTCTGTTACTCAGGCTGGAGTGCAGTAGCATTTTCTTTGTTCCTTCCAGCCTTAAACTCCTGGGCTCAGGCGATCTTTCCACCTCAGCCTCCTGATTAGCTGGATCCACCACACCTGGCTAATTAAAAAAAATTTTTTTGTAAGGCTGGGCGCAATGGCTCAAACCAGTAATCCCAGCAGTTTGGGAGACCGAGGCAATAGGAGTGCCTGAACTCAGGGGTTCGAGACTAGCCTGGGCAACTTGGCCAGACCTCGTCTCTACAATAAATCAAAAAGTTCTCCGTGCTTGTTGGCATGTGCCTGTAGTTCCAGCAACTTCGAAGGCTGAGGCAGAAGGATCGCCTGAGCACAGCAGGTCGAGGCTGCAGTGGCCATGAGTGTGCCACTGCACTCCAGCCTGGGCAACAGAGTGAGAATCCAACTCAAAAAACAAACATAACTTTTTTTGTAGAGACAAGGTCTCACTATGTTTCTCAGGCTGGTCTTGAATTTCTTTGCTCAAGGAATCCTCCTTCCTCAGCCTCGCAAGGTGCTTGGAGTACAGATGTGAGCCACTGCACCCTGCCTGTAGTGGAATATTTTTTAAAAAGCTAATATGAAACATCTTTTAGTTTCCAGTCAGTCCACTTAATGCTTATTGTGGTTGCTGATATATCTGGACTTGTTTCTGTTCCTTGCTAATTGATTTCTGCTTTTCTTCTCTTTTTATGGTTGTTTTTACTACTTTTTTTTTGAGTTGGAGTCTCACTCAGTTGCCCAGACTGGAGTACAGTGGCTGCTCCCGGCCACCGGAGCCTCGACCTCCTGGGCTCCGGCGATCCTTCCGCCTCAGCCTTCCAAGTAGCCAGAACTACAGGTGTGTGCTACCACACCCAGCTCATGTTTTATTTATTGTAGAGACGAGGTCTCGCCAAGTTGCCCAGGTGGGTCTCAAACCCGCGTACTCATGCAATCCAATCCCTTCAGCCGCCCAAAGTGCTGGGATTACAGAGTGTGCCACTGAGCTCGGCATTTACTACTTTTTTTTTTTTTTGAGTTGGAGTCTCACTCTCTCGCCCAGGCTGGAGTGCAGTGGCCGCTCCCGGCCACTGCAGCCTCGACCTGCTGGGCTCCGGCGATCCTTCCACCTCAGCCTTCCGAGGAGCTGGAGCTACAGGCGCACGCTACCACGCCCGGCTAATTTTTTGATTTATTGTAGAGATGAGGTCTCGCCAAGTTGCCCAGGCGGGTCTCGAACCCGTGGGCTCAGGCAATCCACTCACCTCAGCCTCCCAAAGGCGCGGGATTACAGGCTGAACCACCAAACCTGGTTTACTACTTTTAAAAATCTTATTTTTCTGAATCCTTACTCCTCCTGCTGTTATATAAATATATGCCTTCACATGCCTCCTATTATGCTTGGTGATCTTTGATTAGGAGATCATTGGTTGGTCTTAATCTCTTTTTAAAAAATTTTAAAATAGAGATGAGATCTTGTTATTTTGTCCAGAATGGTCTTGAACTCCTAGTCTCAAGCAATCCTCCTACCTTGGTCTCCCCAAGTGCTAGGATTACAGGCATGAGCCACTGATATTAATCTCTGAGTACCTTAGAAGAAGTCTATATTAGGGGCCGGGTTCAGTGGCTCAGTTTGTAATCCCAACACTTTGGGAGGCCTAGGCTAGTGGATTGCCTTAGCCCGCCGGTTTGAGGCAGGCAATTAAGCCCCAGGCAATTTAGGGAGACCTCCTCTCTACAGTAAATAAAAAATTAACCAGGTGTGGTAGAGCACGTCTGTAGTTCCTACTATTTGGAAAGCTGAGGCAGAAGCTTAGCCGGAGACCATTGGGTCGATGCTGGGGTGGCCGCGAATGTGCCACTGCACTCCAGCCTGTGTGACAGAGTGAGACTCCAACTCAAAAAAAAAAAAAGAAAAAGAAAACTACATGCGGGATGTTTTTTCCCCAAAGAATATTCACTCAACTTCTGCCAGGAGATCTGTGCTCTGCCCAGGAATTTCACACCTGGTGAATACACTTCTGTAGACTCTATGGCAGGATCCATCTCAACAGCTCTGCTGCTACTGCATATAGATTGTCACTCTACCTTGCTTATGGGCCGAGAATTCCCAGTCAGTCCTTAACTTGTATTTTTGGAAGATTGTGGTGCTGGGTGATTCTGGGAGACCTTTTCATACATTTCACAAGCCTGGTAGGGGATGTAATTGTTCTGCAGTGGCAATGTTCCTCAGAATAGTTTGACTGCTGTTTTGCTAGAAGCAGACTTTTTGCTATATTTTCCTGTCTTTTTTTTTTGAGTTGGAGTCTCACTCTGTCGCCCAGACTGGAGTGCAGTGGCATGCTCCCGCCCACTGCAGCCTCAGCCTGCTAGCCTCCTGCGATCCTTCCGCCTCAGCCTTCCAAATAGCTGGAACTACAGGCACGCGCTACCAGACCCAGCTAATTTTTTGATTTGTTGTAGAGATGAGGTCTCACCAAGTTGCCCAGGCGGGTCTTGAACCGGCGGGCTC